CCTTCAGATGGTTGCAGCATAGCTGTTGAAAGTATGTTATGAAAACCTTCAGATGGTTGCAGCATAGCTGTTGAAAGTATGTTATGAAAACCTTCAGATGGTTGCATCATAGCTGTTGAAAGTATGTTGTGAAAATTAAATTATTAAGTAGTTGAAGACATATTTGAAAATGTAAAATTTTTAGTCATTTCATTCATGGCATAATTCTAGAATAAGATTTGTGTGTATGATTTTACAGTTTTTTTTTTCTGCCCACAATGCTATTGTTGCCGAGATTGAGATGTAACTGATTAAAGAAAGCTGTAAAAAAGTGTGAAAGTAAAATATCAGAGTATTTATTTTTTCCAAATTTTATTTTATTACTGACATAAATCTTTATAAATAAAAAAAAAGAAAATAGAAAATTCAATTTCTTTGAAAAATTGAGAGAGGAAAGAATTTACAAAAATTAGATTTTGTAACAATTTTATGTTTTTAATATAAGTTGACTTTACATTTAAATCTATGCTTTATAGAGAGAATTATGGGTGTACTAAACTTATCCCCATGTCACTTATTTATCTTCTACAGTACTGAGTACATGAGACAAGTATATTTATGCGGTCTTTGTGTACAAAAGCTAAAAGAGAAAGAAACTGAAAACTGTCAAGAAATGACTGACCTTGACTTTTGTATCGTGTTAGCCCATAGTACTCTGGGTGATAGGTCTTTTCCATTCAGTGCTTGGAAAATTCCCTGTTTTGGTATGGAAAGCTCAGTATGTGCTTGGAAATTCTTTGAGCATGTAGTTTGAACTGTACATGATTATTTAGTAGATACAGTTTGCTACATTGGCACTATTTCTTGTTAAATTGCATTATTGATATATAAAAAAAATTATAAGAAGCCAACTTACCACTGACTGATGACTAAGTAAAGTATTGTAAGTGATTATCAGGAAATTTATAGCATAAGTACACTATAGACAGTTACATGTAAACACCATAAGAGAATACTGTGGTTATAAGCAGTAAAAATAGTAATTCCATAATTATTAATTTAAAAAATAAATTCCTACATAAAAAAGTATAAAGAGTAGAATACAAAACTGTCTGATGTTTTTTTTTGTATACTGTTTTGTGGGGCAAGTTCTATTTCAATAGTGTAAAGAATAAAGTAGCTTTATTTTCCTGTTTTTTCAATTTCAGAAAAAATAATATAATTATATTTTTCTTCATCTGTTGGTACTGCATCTTTCACTAGTTTGTGATGACTAGACATGCAATCAAGGGTTCCAACATGCTTATTGTATTGATGCTACAAAAATTAAGGGTTTCTTTTCACCAGTAATAGATGATTAGTTAAACTAGTACTCTCAAGATCATGGAGTACTTTTAACTGAACAATTTATGACTTCATAGTTATCTCCATGAATTAATATTGTAGGTAATCAAGAAAAAAGTATATCAGTATATATATATATAGGACTAGTGTGTCATATCAGTAACTTGGCCAAATGCATTCTTTACTTGTCCTGGGCTATTTGGTTAGCATTAATGTTGAGCCCTGGTTTGTTTATATTTGATATGTTTAAACATATGTCCATTCTACCTTTTTTTTTATTACAAAGTGACTATCTGAATGTATACAAGTTTTCAGGTTTCCTTTTTGTTCTGTTTAACCTAAACTGTTTGTCATACCTGTTAGTACCTAACTAAAAAGGTAATACAACTCACTAACCTGTCCATGTAGTGTATAGTGTTAGGTGTTAGTTGGTGTCTAGTGAAAATTGGAAGTAGAGCTGGGCAGTTAGTGGTATTTGTTAACAGAATAATTAATGGGCCCATTAATTAATAAGTACACGCCACCTAAAGAGCACACACACACACGTACAGACACTGTAAAAGCAAGTAAAAAAAAAATATGTTTGCTGCCTTCATAATTTTTTAAACCACCGTGTTATCATGATATTAATCTTCCTATTTTTATGCACATTGTTTTTATGTAGTTTTTGAATTACACTTGGTTTCATATGATAGAGAATCCACTTCTACTTATATAACACTTAAATAATACAAGTTTTTATAGGCACTTGCTATCTGGCCCCTCAGTCATGAAAACTTGCCAGCCTCATTAGAATATCTTAATCCTATAGACAGAAGAATTCACTTCACCATGGAAATAGAGAAACAGAGCAGCCAACTGTTTCTTGACACTGAAAAGGAAAAATTACTACCACTGTATACAGAAAACCTATCCACACTGACAGATACTTACACTTCCAGTCCTGTCATCCAACTTCAGTAAACCAAGGTATAATCCAATGCCTGGATGATAGGCGTAAACGTCATAGAGTGTTTTAAGCAGAGCTGCTATACCTGTACGTTCATCACCAATTCCCTAGAAAAGACCACAACAGAAAATAAAGATAAGGTAAACATTATTACTACTATTTATCTCCCCTACATACAAAACTTAAGTGAAAAATGTATAGCCAAGAAATTCAACAAAGACGCATGCTGGAAATCTTCCAATACTATATATCTTGGTTAAAACTAAACATAACTCACTAATGAGAAACACAAAAATGTAATCTATGAAATTCCATGTTCCTGTAACAAAACCTACATTTGAAGAAATGGAAAGACAAGAATATAAGACAGCACAAGACTAATGAAACGATAGAATTCAGCCGTTGCAGAACATACTGTATGAACTGGACACAAAATAGACTGGGAGAAACCTAGAATCTTAAACTCAGATAAATATTGGTAAACAAGAAAAGTATTGAAATCTTTCTACATTAACAGAACAAAATCTTCATTAAACAAAGACTCGGGTCTATAAATCAACAACTTATAGATACCATTGGAACAACGCATATCTACCTCAATCTACGCTGATTTTTCCAAGCCCGTTCCCTTGGCAGTGGTTTCGCTAGATAAACAGCAGGATTAACTCGACCTTCTCTTGCTTTAACAGTGCCATAATCAGACACATATCTGTAATTAAGAATAGTTGCAAATCACTTATCGTTCCAGAATTTTCAGACACCCTGTATGTAAAACCTGCAGTATCTTGCACAAACTGACCCGAAGATGAAAGACTTCTGAAATACATCATCCTTTACACATGTGCTGCACTAGTATATTATATAGTTACCAATATATTTCTACAAGTGTTTCTTTAATAGGCAATAGCCACCCATTTCATAGTGAACTCAATACAATTATTAATTTCTGAAAAAAATGAGTGTAGGTTCAGCCTCCTTGGGCTGTTCACTTAGATCCATGCCTGCTTATATGACATTAAAGAATACAGTTATTGATCCCTGAAAAAATGGAGTGGGAGTTTAGTCTCCCTAGAACAATAACTGCCTGTATGGTGTTAAAGAATACAGTTATGTAATTATACATTAGAAGCATAACAAGATCTAAAAAAGAACAGGAAATTTACACTATTTAATTCTTAAGTAATCAGAGAGTTGACAATGGATGCTGTCAACCTCTTGCCTTTCCTCTAGTTAGCAGCTCAAAATTATTGGCAGATAGTCTTAGTAGCTTTGTAACAACAAAGACGGGGCGAGAAAGTTTAGTGGCAGTGGGAATCAACCCGAGACCCTCAACATTGTGAGGCACTCCACCCCATAAAACATAGTGGCAGTATTTCCATTATATGGATTATTCAAACAAAAAACAGTAAATCATCATAAACCATAATTTTGATTAGTTGATCATTTTTGTGATGTTAATTGATTAGTTTACAAAACCTTAACTGATGTAATCATTGCTTATACATAAACAATTAAATCACCTAATTTTATACACTGACCAAAGCTATTTTTGCTTTCTCTCTCTCTATACATTTGGTATCTCCATTACTTTTTTTTTAACATTATTAGCAAGATACAGTACTCATACTTGTAGCAGTATAATATATTTTTTTTTCTGTCTAAGTTATTTTTCTAAACGTAATAATGTGATGTGATTAATTCCAAAGTAAGTATTTACTGTTTGCTAGTGGTATGTAGTGATTTCAATGCTTCTTAAGACTTCTAACCTAATGAAAAGAATCAACCAAGATCTACTACATGCATGTTCTTCATTGGAGAATGGAATACGCTGGTCCCCCATTCAATTTCTAAACAGAGGCTCAGAATATTCCATTCTCCAGTGAAAAATAAACATGTAGTTGAACTTGATTGATTTCTTTTCCTCCATTTAACCATCTGTCTTATGACTTTCTCTTTGTTAATGAGATGCATGTTTTTGAATTTACCAAAGCATGGTCATTAAATGCTTTTGTTATAAAACTACTTCTTGTATATGCCATCTAATAGAAGAAGAAAAACTTTTTTTGTATGTGAGAAGCAGTTTACAGTATTGTAACTTCTGACTTTGGTTATACATCATAAGTGTATTGACGTATATCTTAGCCTGAATACATACATTTATGGTATACTATTCACAATTTGTTTACAGTTCAAAAATGAGTTGTACCAAAGTATAAATTTGTATGTAGTTTATATTCAAACTGACTTGATCATTGATAACTAGTAGAACATGGTGAAATTAAAAAAAGTATATAAAGTTATGGTATTTCACTTAATTGCCATTCTTATCTAAGTACACAAAATCGAATATATGGCCATTAAGATATACTCTAAAAACCTTTTAAACTAAAAACTATCTCTGGTACTGTGATTATTCACTCCATCTTCAAAGATTTTAATTAGTCATCCTGTTTACACAATTTTTAATGGCTCTAATGATCCCTCCTTAAAAAGTAGCTTGAATTACTCATCCCTGATTTTGCACTTGTAAACAGAATTCTCAGAACTCAACAAAACACTGAATATATATAAACAAGATTTTTGAATATTACACACCAAATGTGTATGAAACTCAAGAAAATTTTATTTTTCAAATTTGATTATTGCACGTGCATTTTCTTTAAAATATAAAAATGTAACATTTTTTATTTACATAAAATGAAATAAACAATACTCTGTACACTTTCAAAAAATCATTTTGATGCTACAGTATTAATTAAAATTCTAATTTAAGAATTTTGCAAGAGAAAAAGTTTTTTTGTTAAATTTTAACAACACTCATATATTGAAATCAACATTCATTCATAACATTCACTCTTAGTAGGCCTAGCACCTACAAGTACAATTGTTTTTTGCATATCTCTTTTTCTGTTGTTTTTCTTCATATTCAGATGCAATGGACAGACAGACATCCATTTTCACAAATGATATTATTCTGCTTATAGAACTTGACAAAATATATAGAGTTGTGGTATTTCAAGACACTGACTAAAACTAAGGACTATCAAATTCATACTGGAAAATTTGTTCACAAAACTTCCTTGTCAACAAAATTTTCAACATTTGGACCTTCAGAAACATAAACTTTTAACCTATGAAATGACTTTACCCTGGACAAAATTGAAAAGAACTGACTATGGGAAAAAAATTGCAACTCTGACGGACACACAACCGATTTCCCAAATTATATTATTATAAGAAGTTTTACTCCATTTTTTTAGATATAATTGTATGCATACTGTACATTTTTAGTGATATACACTATATATATATCAAATACATGTGGTTGAAATAGGATTAATATTTATAATAATATGTTTTGAAAATTGAATAAAGATTTATTAATTTTGTTTTTCTATCTGGCTATCAGATCTCTTCTATAAGAGAGGTACAAACTTCAGTATTTCTTATACTAGTTTCACATGTAAATGCAGATGTAAGAGAATTAATTTGCTTTATGTGGATTGTTATTCTACAACAGTAATTATGTTTATTGTTATAAAAATCATTAGTTTTGAAAGACAATGAAAAATGCTTTGAGAGTTTCAAAAATTTATATTAATTTTCTCTCTTTTTTTTACATATCTTTTCCCAGTTTTGAATTTGTGTAAATCACATAGATCTGTAGACACACTACTGTAAATACATCATTGTATTATTTTATCAAATAAAATTTCTAAATATAAATCTTAGAAAGTAAAAGCTGTAAAAATTAAGATACATGGGCCATTTTAGTAATTCAGTTTTTTGTTGTGAATGTTTTATACTTTGATATTAGTGTCTTTTAGATTGCTGATGAGGTGATTATTTTGCAGATACTGAACCAGGTGAAATGGAAAAACTTGTGTAAAAGAATGAAGGATTTTGGACAATTTTTCACGCCTCGTCTTGTTTAACAAATTGTGTAAGGTGATATTTGTTCATACCTGAATAATGTGTTAATTGTATTTTTTACATCAGAACAAAAATATGAAAGATTTGGTTCTGATGGAACCCAAAGATCCTGCATTTTTGTCGAATCAAGAACTTCGAATTCAACTGGAGAAATATGGAGAAACTGTTGGACCTGTTACAAACTCAACAAGAAGAGTTTTTGAGGGTTTGTTGAACAGGATTAGGAATAGAGAACGTTTAAGTTGTTCTAATGCATGCCAGAATCCTCTTGATGAACAGCATTCTCATTTAACCATTGAGTGCTCTACTGAAGGGACCAACTCTTCCAGGAAGAGTGATGGCTCCCAAGATTGCTATAAACAAAATGGTCCTCTCAAAACTTTTTCTGTAAATGCATGTGAAAAGTTGAGCTCATCAGAGGAAACTTCAGGAGAGGATTCAAGCTCACCATCATCTTTTTATGGAGTTAGTTTACCTCCTGGGACATCATGCAGTGATGGTAATGGTACGTAAATACAAATTATTTTTGGTAAAATAATTTTAGTGATAAATTATAGATCTATGACCTGTAAGTGTTCTTCCAAGTTTTTGTGTTATGAATGGGTAGTTTTGAATATCTTTAACATACATGTGTATGTATGTTAAAGATATTCATGTGTATGTCAATACATATGTATGTACACAAAAAAATTAGGGTTTAGGGGCTAGTAATTGGTAATATTAAACGTTCGTATTTTCTAATCTGAAAATTCATACAAATATCACATAAATGAATATTTTATTTGCAGAAACTACATAATCTGTAGACTTAATCTGAAATTTCAAATTATTTAATCCACTGTTTTTTTTGCATTGCAATAAAACAACCGTACAAGTTGCATTGAATTGGCATACCCAGGCATTTGAGAGATAAAACAATCATAATTTATATTTCCTTAGAATTTCTTGTAAAATTTTCAAGTGTCCTGGGAGCTAAATTTTTGAAAGCCTGTTATTGGAATTACAATTTCATTTGTGCATTTTGGTTATGTACTTTAAAATCAAACAAAAATAATATAAAACACAACAATCTATTTTTATAAATAAGAATTGTGCAGGGGCTTTTTTAAGTCTTAAATTAGTATTAGATGAGATCAGATGAATATTACTGCAATGGTTTCCTCTTCCTCCTTGTCCATATTGTCACCTTTTTACAGATTCTTCTCTTTCTGCTTGGAGAGCATATTTCAACACTCGGGAGGTTTCGTGGCTAGGAACACTTTTCGAATCCATTCTCCATATCAATCTCTTAAAACTTCTTGCTGTTCATTGGGCAGTACTTACCTTTCTACTGGCTCTTCAGAACCAGTTGGTGATGATCTACTCTGACAATTCTACAGTAGTGTCCTACATCACCAGTCATAGGGACACCCAGTCAAGAGACCTTTATTTTCGAACTTTGTGTATTCTATGTTTGACCCACTGTTATCATATCACTTTGTTGACATATCTTATTACGGCTGCACTGATTCTGATCACGAATCGGTTATCCATCCCGACGAGATTCTACCAATGGGATAGTCTTTGGATCTTCTCATTTTTTGGAAGTTGTGTGTGCTTTGAGGTGTCCCTGATTTAGATACTTTTGCCTCTCATCTCGATACCCACCTTCCCTGTTTTTGTTCTCCTGTTCCTCAGCCATTGGCAGGAGCAGTAGATGATCTCAGTCAGGATTGAACAGGTCGTTGCCTCTATGCATATCCTCCTATTTCTCTTGTCCTATCAGTAGTTTAGGCCACTCCGTGTTGGGTTCTGATGGTGGTACTGTATTGGCTGACTCTAACATGGATTCCACTTCTGTGATGGCTTTTGGTCTCGCCTCCCCTTCCTCTGCGTTCTTCGGCCACACTCCAGTATGCATCATCCATCCATATACACACTTTGTTTTCACACCTGGCTTTTGTCCGGCCCTTCTCCTGAAGGTTGGGTCTTTCCAGGTATTTAGCGTCCTTTTGGTTTCCCATCCAATTTGTCCTTCCTCTTTAATTATTTACCAGCATAAGTGGTATAATAAACATACAGAGAAAGGGAAGAATATGCCAGGCAAATCCAACCTGTAAGAGAAATGGAAGAAAAGACACAGGAAACAGTAGGATTCCAATGAAGAAACAAATGGACCTGGGAACCATAGAAGGATGCACTGCATGTCATATACCATTTAAGGGCCCTGATCAGGCCAAAGAATTGGTCAGGATCAGAATGGTCTTAAAGGTGGGAGATGGAGGGAAAAGAATGAGAAGTGAAATCAGGATTACTTTTCCGATCAGCCACAGTCTTTGGCATAAAGGAACAGTCAAGAACTATGGAACATAACATATCAAACCCAGACCTCAAACACTTTGGAAAGACGGTGAAAACATGTCAACAATATGAGGAACAGGATGGCAAAGAAAAGTAATATAATGAACATGATGAAAAAGGTTCAAACAGAAGATGAGAAAGAAGCAGGAAGGACAACACCAAGGTTCCATTCTTGAATACAAGCAGGTATGGGAGGACGAGCAATGGAGAATGAGTGAAATAACATAAACAGTACATGAGATTAAAACACAGACAAAAATTCACTAAACTGAAAAGTGGAAGACAAAACTGTCCTGTGAGCCACAACAAAGAAAAAGAATAGGTCATAGTCATAAAGCCAAGTAAAAAAGGGTGTCACTGGAGAAATGGTAGGAAGGAAAAGAGGATAACCTAGGCGTATAGACCAACAGCATTAAATATAATCAAACCTGTATCACCAAGGACAGAAAATTTCAGACTGACAAAGAACAAGGTATGCCGACTGCATATTCCTGTGTACAACCTCCAGCCAGCAAAAGTTACTCTCTGCCCACGTGCTGTCAGTCAATTCACGTCCAGAAACCATAGTTCTCAGTTCTATAATTTGTATTAAAGTTTTTTCATGTTTTATGTAATCCTCCGTTTTGATAACCCTTGTATTTCTTCCATTTCAGCTTCTTACGGGCACGGTCAGTGTATTTTATTTGGCACTCTGGCCATGAAAGTGGGTTTTCTCGAGGTTCTCCCATTTCCCCCAACAGCAAAATTCATTCATGTTTTTTGGATCCCCCAATCACAGCCCTGAAAAGTTGCCATTCTGCATTCATTTTAAATCGTAATGTCATGTCAGTTTCATCTTATTTTATTAGTATTTTGCAGTTAACCACTGACCACTGACCACTTCTGAGTCAGGTATACTCTTCATCCTTCAGGAATGTGTCCCCGAAACCTATAGAGTAGAAACATGGCAATACCTCAAAATTTTTCAACAGGAAAGGGACCCCCAGGTGTCAAATGGTTAGGGCATAACAGACCATAAATGGGAGTTTGACCTCAACCAATACTTGGTAGCATCTGGAACTGTACATCAGATCCACATTAGGAAAAGGGTCCTCTACTTTCATTTCAAAAACAGGCACTGGACAGGAATAAGAGCATCCACAACAAGATCCTGACTCTGCATGTGCACATCTCCAACACAACCAACACTGGATCCACCAGGAATCCAACATCCAGTGGACAGTAGGTTGATGAGGGAAATCAATGTGGGGTAACATCTCCAGTCCATGGTAGGAGGAGGGAACCGGCCAAACACATGTGACGACTTGTGTGGCTGGACCATCTCCAATCAACACCTGACCCAACCAGAGGGGCAAACTGCAACATATAGATAAGATGAGATTTGGAATTGTACATCAGATCGATGGTAGGAAGAGTGTCATGCCATCAACAACAGCAGAATGCCACTTCTCTACTCTCAACTGAGTGGTATTGTGCTTCACTCAGGAGGACTGGACCCCATGGTCCATCATCCAAGTAGCTCGGAACTGGCAAGTGGTAAAGAAAATGTGTTGGAAAGTCTGGAGGATCATAGCACTGCAGACAGTACAATGGGTGACCGTGAAACTTTATTTTGAAAAACAGAGCTACCACATTAAAGAAGTTGATCAATCAACACCTGGTGTCATCTGGAATTATACCACAGGTCCACAGTAGGAAGAGTCTCAATGCCACAGAACATCAGAGATGGGTAGTAATCCCTGTCTACTTTACCCATGAAAGTCCATGAGTGTAATGTTTTGGGATGAACATATTTATGAAGCAACAGACCATGATATACAACTACAAGTTGCCATACAGAACACCCCATCTCTGCAGTTTGTGTAACATGATCCTGTGATGTTTTATGTTTCATGTAATATTTGTAATATCAATACACAAAGAAAACAACTGGATGGAGTCAATCAACCAATACCTGTCGGGATCTAGAATTGTACAACAGATCTGCAGTAGAAAGAGCCTTAATATGATAGACATTTAGCATGGTCACAGGACGTACAGTGTGGATTTTAAGTATAGCTGGTCAGGCACCACTCACAACAGAGTGGGATCCAAAACACATGGAGAAAAAGGCCCCTGTAAAGAAAAAGAAATGGAGTAGTCCATATACCCACTCAGATGATGTCCACCCAGGGAAGATAGAAAATGGCAGTCTGGGACAAGGTAAGGTGATGGATTTGATGGGAAAAGACAAACAAAAAGCTAACAGGAATGAGTAATGTGCTTTGGATATGACAGCCTTATGATGGAGCCACTTACAATGGAATATACACTGCAAAGCTATTGTCGAGATGCACAGTTTTCAGAAAGAGCATGACCAGAGGTGGCAATATGATTGTTAAGGCATGGTGTGGCTTCAAAATTGTTTTAATATAGTATACTTGACTCTCATTACATGCAAAATACAATTCAATGTATGGGTATAATATTAAACATTAAAAGTACAAAAAAATCAATTATTTTCAAAAGAAGAAAAAAAAAAAAATTTCAAAACAAAACAACTCTGTAATTTTATAATGACTCACCAGAATTGTTATCAGAGTCAACAGATTCAGCACAAGGAGATGAAGGTGAGAAAGTACACCGAGTTGCAGGAGATGACAGTAGCTGTTCTGATGTTACCATGGAAAAGGCAACAGCATCATCCCTACAACTAAATACTTTAAATCTTGCTCCTTTGTACTTCTTTACAGTTTGTAAGGCTTCTCTTTTGTCACTGAACACTAAAGGTAGCTCTGCAAGAATAGTAATTGTGTAATTATGAAATTTTATTAGCACGATAAAATAATAAAAATATAACGTATTCCTTTTATTTTATTCCAAATGAATAAGAAATAGTTACAAGTACTTTTAGAAACTCTCATATATATATAACTTATCTCTGTCAATCTTTGCATTACCTGACTAAAATAATTAAATAATAAAATTCCTCTCAAACACTACATTACCAGATATACGTACTGTAACCAGTGGTGACTATGATGACCATGCTTGTCACACTGAACAAAATAAGCTATTTCTATGAAAACTTTGATCAATATTTACCTTTGAAATTTATGTCTTTTCACACACTGCAAGCATACCTACAAACTAACACTCTTCTGAATGGTCTATGCTTCTGTTTGTTTGAATATCATGCTCGTTAAAAAAATGCAGTAAACCATCCAATAAGCAGCTATGGGTTGCCCCACATTCAACAAACAGAGCTGTGATGATGTGTATCAGCAAAAGACATGCTTCCTAAAATTAATGGATATAGTCCTAATGAAGTGTATTGTTTTTGTGGACCTGGTGCAGATCTGTTTCTACTATTGTTTCAAAAAAGTTGACCAGTTCATGAGAACTGGAAAGCTGTAGATCTGACATTTTCAAATTAATCCTCCCAGAAAGTCTTAAAATTATTATTTATTTAAGGTTAGCATCAAAAACTGTGCCCGGACCCCATGAACATGTTAATTTAAGATCTCTTGATATCTATGAGCATTGAAGAGTGAAGAGTAGATTAAGGGTGATTAACAACTGTGAATATTTCACACTTACATCAACACATAAACTCTCATCTATAAAAATGTATATAATTTAGAACCTTTTGGAATGTTGCAAGTACACTAATGCTACTAACTACCGATTCAGTGTTTCAATAAGTTCTCTTGTATAAGAAGTCACAATGAGCAAGGTAACATATTCAGTGGAACATGTAATTACTGCTAGCAAGGCAAAGCACAATAAAGAAAATTTATAATGTAAAAACAGTAAATAAAAGCCTTTTGGACAGCTGATACATAACAGATAAAACTAGCTACATACTCAGGATTATATAGTCATATAAGTAGCTTTACACCTACCAACTACAAACAAATTTACTTAACGTCTTAGTTTACAGAGCTTATACCAATACTTTCAAAAATAACTTGAAATAATTTAAAAATGGGTTTCCTCTGTTCTTGATCAATAATGCGATTAAAAGATTCTGATGGAAGTTAGCACCCTTTCTAAAGTGTATTATGATGTACAAAATACTTGTTATATGTTAGTGTACCATAGATGGATAAGGTTAGTTATTAGTTGCAAAAAGAGATCGAGAACATTATAAATAAAATTATACACAAATATCTGTACAAGTGGTCTTAAAATCAACATTATGAACAGAGATCTTATTGATGAGAAATTATTATTTAAAGACAGTTTTGCTCTCTTAATACACAATCTTTTTGATCCTAGGATACTCTTCATTGTCAGAGCCACACAATACACTTCATGTAGGGCTCTGACTTGATAATCACTTTCTGGATATCTATGAATTCTAGAACTGTTATTGGCTGAAGTTGATTGTAGATGTTCTTTGATATGTTGTTCCAAATGAGAACAAACAAAATAATAACATATGTGCATTGAAATTCCCCACTCACATGTTTAGAATAGAAGTTGACATTTTCCTAAAGTGAAAATGTATTTCCGATAGATACTTACCTCATCTCACAAAAATCTATCTTGACTAGTACTGCCCTCTATTGGCACAAATGTTTTCACTTGCCACTAGCCTTGTAACTCCCACTTCTTTCTGCACATCAACATGTAAATGATCATGCAGCAATCCTCCTCCAATCTACCCAGACAGTTACACATGACAGCCAGCCATGGGAAACAACTAAGACCACTAACAAGTTTACTCAGACTCCACCAGCCAAGAAGAAGTTACCATACACAAATACAGTCCAGAGTCAAACTTCACCTATCACCAGGGTTAACTCTTCAACATCCACCGACAGCCTTATAAATTCCAGCCAGCAAAACATTAGATGAAATACTAAGCTAAGATAAGTTTAAAATGGAATCACATACAGAAGACATGTTACATTTACATATATAGTGGTAAAAAAGTACTTGAATCAGAAATATGATTATAAGAACTTCTATGTCAAACAGTTAACAATAGTTGTAACACAAGGATTTGCTGTTATATGTAATACATAATCTAATTGGTAAGTGTAATATGAATAGAGGGTTTAGTATGTTAACTTCTATGCCAAAAAGTTAACAATAGTTGTAACACAAAGATTTGCTGTTATATGTAATACATAATCTAATTGGTAATTGTAATATGAATAGAGGGTTTAGTATGTTAACTTCTATGTCAAACAGTTAACAATAGTTGTAACACAAAGATTTGCTGTTATATGTAATACATAATCTAATTGGTAATTGTAATATGAATAGAGGGTTTAGTATGTTATATTAAACAAGATTTTGAATAAGCAAATCAGCATATAGCCAATAATAAAGCCATGGTGGAACAGTATATATCAGAACTATGTTTTGACACTGTTTGTTGTGTGTAATAGCCATTTCCATACACTTAGCTCATAAAGATGTGTTCAGATTGGGATTTATAATTTCTAAGATGTGGACATCCTTTGTACTTTATGGCATTAGAAAACATAGGAATAGGAGTCAACTTTAGGGCACCATGACTATCCAGAAAAAAATTTACAAGCTGTAGCTCAATCATGGTAACCCAAGTGTCCAAGGTAACAACATTCAACATAATGATGAAGGATAACCATCTGGTAATGAAGCTAATGGAGTATGGGTTTACCAAGATAAGGAGAATGAAACTGGTATCATACTATTCTAAACAAAGACATACTGGTCAAGGTGCCAGAAACAGCATCTGTGGATTTCTGTACAATTGGACTGTTGAAACAAGCACTGGGAAACCACCATCCTTCTACACTAAAAGGATTATGTAACAGTTAAAAGAGTTAATTAGAAAAAGTTACATTACTTAGTTTTGCCTTGTTACGTTTAGGTAATGGTGAAAAGCCAAGTCCTTTTAAGGCTCCCAGGAGTCAGGAGATGGTGAAATTGAGAAAAGCTGTTGAGGCTGGTGATGCTGAATATTTTGGTCAGTGTGTGTGGACAAACCCTCGTTTTCTGATTAGCAGTGGTGACACACCAGCTATTGTACAGGTCTGTAAAGGAGGTTCTTGTCTTTGAAACAGTAATAAGAAAGGAGGGAAAATTAATTATTTCATTAATGTGTGCTTGTTGAGTTTAACGAATGCTATTTAACAGTCAGTATTTTTGGGTTGTTTGTAGGAGGGATTTCGATACAATGTTCTTCATGTTGCTGCTAAAAGTAAACAAGGTGCCATGTGTCAGCTTATTTTGAGTACCATTGAAGACCAGAAATTTATGAAACTTCTATACTCAGATGATTCAGAGGATATTCGTCAGCAACGAATAATCTTCCTGATAGATCTTTACCTCAACACACCTGATAGAGGGGTATGGTTTGTTTTCCTCACATTTTCGTTTGAAAATCTTGATACTATAATTGACGAGAAGTAAAATGTGTATAATACTTATACTATGAAGTAAAATATGACGCTTGATAGCTTGAATTGATTTTTGATACCAGTAATATTATTGTAGTGTTAAGATTATCAAAATTGTAATATGTTGCTCATGAAAGTATTCTGAGCCCATTTGACAATATTATTTTTAGAGCAATTATTTTTCTTCCCTAAAATAAACTTTTTTATTCAAATTTTGGTTACATTTTAAGTGGGATCTATCTAGTATTTATACATAATAATTGTTCATGTTTTCTCCTTAAAATATAATCCTACGGGACCAGTATTTATCTGATATAAAGGTGTCTTACACAAATGTTGATGTATTTATTTATTGAAAATTTCCATTTGAATGACAATTCAGTGGCACAATTTTAATAATTTATAGCAGCATTTCTCAAACTGGGAGTCCTGTCCCAAAATGGGGCTGAAAGGTTATTATGTCTGTGTTTGTGAAGGGGTTGGTGTCACTTTGTGTGGGTTTAGGGGTGTGTGTATCATAATTTCAAATATTTTATACAGTAAAAAGTTTGAGAACCATTGATTTATAGCAGTACAGAAAGTGAAAAACTTCGTTATTATTTATTTGCATACAAAGTTTTACCAGATTAACCTGGTAATATACTAATGTTGTTAGTCGAAGTTCACACTTAAATAAACAAGAGTTATTATAGGCATTCATTGTTAGCCATTGTCATTGTACCTGTAGATGGATTTGAGTCAAATTTAATAGACCTACATGTTTTTTGTTAGCGTTACAATAGGCAATTATAATAAATCTTTCACTTTTATCAATAGGTGTTCAACTGAGAGCTTGATGGTATAAAGTTTAGTGGGCTTGAATGTTTTTGTGAACATTTGTTGCATGTACCAGCTAAAAGCTGGTTTATTGTGATATACCTATTTTTTATTGTCACATTATTGCTTAATGATGTTGATGTAAACTTTCACTATGTAGAATGACTTTTCTAAACTATTCCACAGATGTAATACTGACTGATAAATTAATTTTTAGGTTTCTGGATTATTTTATTTTTTGTGTATGTAGTAAAAGTATTTTTTATGTGATGTAACTAACTTTTCAATGTAATTTCTTGAATTCTGTCTGTTGTGGTATAAAACCCAATACCAAAAGTTGCTCTCCATAATAGGATTTATTACAGTGTACTATTGTGAAAAACCCTACCAAGTGTTAAAATGTTCTTAATTTACTATTTTCTCTACTACAGATGTGTGAAACCCCACTTCACTTTGCATGTAAATTTGGATGTTTAAAGGCTGCAGAAGTTTTAGTTAGTCATCCATCTTGTGATCTCAAGAGGTTAAACAAGTATGGGCAGACAGCAAGAGAGGTAAGAAACATTGAATGAGATTTAGAACTCATTTCTTATGATATATTTCTCTGACAGATTTTAATGTCAAGATAACATTTTTATTGGTTCACATTTGTTTCAGTTCATGTTCCTACAATTGGAAACGCATATTGTTTGTCTAAAAGAAAATAACAAAGCAAAAAAAAACAGTATATGTGCTTGGAAAGATGCAAGACAATTACCTTAAACAGTGGATTGACAGCTTTGTTCCTTCTGTAGAACTATTAACTTCGTTAAATAAGGTAGAACTGACCAAAAACAATGCTCTGTAGTAAAACAGGTACACAGTTTTATACAGAACGATAGCTGGTTATACTTATACAACAGACTAAGCTGTAACTTCTAGATGTCGTCGACTCAGCCATCAAGGGACTTTACTGTCAGTGGCCTATTTCAACACAAAGAGTGAAGCTATACTGTCTGCTAGAGAACAACAAAAGCAAACAGAACAAAGCAATTTCAGCATTTTTCTGGACCATGTGTTTATGCCAAAACTGCATCTTTTAGTAATATATACATGTATTTTTGGAATTATTTATTTAGTCTGTTTGTTTTGTTTTGTTTGAAGAATACAAAACATATTATATGCTTCATATCACAAATTGATGGGTTTACTGCTTATGCTTACATTTTAAAAGTTATTATCTAGCAGTTTATAAGATTCTGATGTAATTTGTTTTAAACATTTAACCTGTTACTTTAAAAATGGTTTCTTAACCATCTAGTGGTGAAAAATCTTGAAACAATTCAGTAGATGTTTTTCACTTGTAGTATATTTGACTTATAATTTAAAAAATGTTTTTTTTTTGAGTATTAAAATGGCCTATCTTGTATACAATATGATAATAATCTTTAACCCTATCACTACAGGCATCCTTTTCTGCATGTGTCATGTGGTTTTACTGAGTTACATTCAGTGTTTAATTAAACTGCTTTCTTATCATGATGTATATGAATAAACTTGACATAAAAACATAGATAATAATCCAAATTTTAATATCTTATAAGTTTTAAGCTATTAACTTTATGAGGCAATACTTTAAAATAATCCTCAACTTTCCCTAGTATGAGAACTGTAACATTTGCTCTCTAGGAATCCCCTCTTCTCTAATTTATTTACCACCACTTCGATAAATTATTCATTATAAGATCGTTATCACTCAGGCAAAGCATTCTCTTTTAGAAATTGGTAGTAGTTCTTTTTGATGTTTAATACTATATTATTTTTAACCAGTAGAAAGCAAAAGTTTTATTCTATCAAATGATGTGTTATATTATGTTGTTTTCTGTACAGAGAACTGTCTATTTCACTTCCAGTTCAAACTTTATTCCCATGGGAAACACATCAGTGAGCATAGCTGAATTTTTAACAGCCCTTATTGCGTAGTTAGAAAGCCAGAACAATTGTGATAGTTGTAGAACATTGTCTGCTTTTTGTGTATTATTATTATTATTCTGTGTTCTTTGGTGCATTATTTAATTAAATAAAATATTTAGTGCAGTAGCACCATTAGTATAAAGAAGTAGGGTTAGGTTTCAGCAGTAGTCACCAGGAAAAAAAAAATACTCAGGTAAGTACTATGTTTCTTGCAGGGGTTTTCCTAATGTGCAGTTGATCACAAACTGTACGCCTGTAAAAAATTTTGTGCAGTTGAAAACTCACCTGTATGGGTAAGTTCAAGTGTATAAATAAAAAAAAATGATTTAAGATTATAAAATCCCATTCCAGAGTTGATAAATAAATGTATTTACTAGAATATTCTTCAATTTTTATATCATTCATTACTAGGCGTGTATATGTGAGGTACAATAAGGTGTCATGTAATATAAAATGATGATTTTAAAATGTTATTTTGCAGTTGAAAAGCTAGAGACCGTATCAATGGGCAATAAAACAATAGAATTTAAGTAGAAACAGATACATACTGTTATGAGCTTTAAGCTATTTAGGATAAACACTCGTAGTTTAACATTACAGTTTGAAGTCATTTTAGAAAGAAAAAAAAGAGTGTAATTTAGATTTATTTCATATCTTTTCATGGTCAAATTGACAACCTTGTATGGAGTTAGGGTAGAGAAAATAACAGATAAAATATAAGGTTTTACTTAGAAAAAACGTTTAAAATTTTTAGAAGGTTTTAGAGAATAGGCAAATGAAATTTTATAATTTTCAGATGAAAAAAAGTACTTTTAATCTTAACACGAAAATCACTTTCTACTCAGAACAGTCAACACTTTGACTCCATATTATATTCATGGAGAAATTTTTAGTGAGAATACTTCATTCCAAATTCTGATTTTTTGTCTAAAAAGACTTAATGCTCATTGAAAGATTGCAAAATTTCATGAAGATACACAAAATATATTAGAAGTCAATTTGGGGTCATGAACACGGATCGACCGAGCTCATAGTGAGTGTGTTCATTACCTCGTGTTACTACCTGATTGTTTCTGTTGGCTGGATACGAAAAAAAATCAAAGCAGTTGCAAGGTTTATCGAACTACCGGTTTTGTTAACAAAAATCAAAATTTTAGTACACTTGGTGTTTTTGACTTTAAGATAATAAAAATATGTTATTCATCAGTTGCATCCTTTCAACAAATAGATTTTTTCTAACATTGTTCTTTATTACAGTTTTCAATGAGTTTTGTGTTATTTTCAAAAATGTATATTGTCTAACTATGATAAAGGATGTTAATCAATCTGAACCATCAGCAGGGTTGTAAAGCATCATTCTTTGAGGAACTGGTGTTGTAAAATTACGTGTTAACATCTTTTCTAATACATGGCATGAAAACTAATACTATTTGTGGTTTATAAATCCATGTAGTCAAGAAATTTAGTTTTCTTATGTGAAGATCATAGTAACATTTGTTTTGTTTTTTTGTTATTGAAAACTACTCTTAAATCTAAATATCTTTTTGAAGATGATTCTGGGAAGTGTATCTGATATATTGACATCTTGGGTTCTATGCTGAATTTCTATAAAAGACTTAATGAAGGACTCGTCATAGAGCCCAGGATAAAAAGATATGATGAAAAATGTAATTTTCAAAATTTATTAGTAATTTACTGTATACTACATCACTGGTAACTGTTCATGTCGGCTCATATTGTCATTGAGCTTGACTCATATTCTTTTTCAGACAAGTGTATTTTAAAAGGAATTTCAGAACTCGGAAATTTGGTTCCTTGCACTGTTAAAACTTTTGTAAGGGTAAAGTAGATATATATACAGTCTTGAGTACTGTATACAATCAAATGAATAGTAATGAAAGATTTATATGAATTGTTATGTAACAGAATAGTTAAGTTGAAAGTTATGTAGTCTGGCTTTGTTATATAATTTCTGTTTTGAAATTTACATTTTAAACTACATTTTCTTCAACAGATAATTTGTGACAGATGTGTAGGAGCTCCCACAGAACTCAAAAAACAGATTGAAAATTTGTTTGAAAGTAAGTGTACCTAGTATGGCAGTAGTTTGACTGTGTTTGTAGAATTGAAAATCACTGAAAGCTTGTTTTACTTTTATCATTCTAGGGGTGAATTAGTAGTTAATAGTAAACTGAACATGGACAACTGAGAATGTGAACACTGAAGTATGCTTTAAGTAGATAAATTATAAGATTAATGTGATATACTGATATGAGTACAATTTTACAAAAATGCAAAAAAAATAATACCAGAGCCGACTAACTTTTCTTTTTTTTGACGACTAATTGATAAGTGTGTGTTAATAAGAAAATAATGAATTATGTCAAAAACCTTGAAATTAATACCAAGTCTTTTTTGAAAAATTAGGGTTGTTGATGATGATGCCTAATTATTTATTAAAATATCTGATTAAAACATACTTAGTCTGATAAAAATTAAGATGATTTATCAGTAGAAAACTATAATCACTTGCTACATTAAAATTACTTTAATTCATTTTAATAAGATTTGTCTGTTTGATACAGGAAAGTAGAATCATGTTTGTTCTTTGGAAATATCAAAACAGATTTTACTGATAACTGAGTTTATTTAATGATTATTGCAGTTTTTACTATAAACATTAACTTATTGTTATTCCTATTTTACATTAATAAAGTTAGTAATTACAGATATTGATAACCATATTGTTAATTACATTCAGTAGCCAAATTAATCAGATATTGATGACCATATTGTTAATTATATTCAGTAGCCAAATTAATCAGATATTGATGAACGTATTGTTAATT